CTCTTCTTCGATAGCCTCGATCCAATATTTGCTATATAGATATATAATAGCCTCTTTATAGGTCTTTAGTACGACAGGATTTAGCTCCGCAAGTTGTATTATCGTTAATTCCTTATTCTCTAGTAGTTCTTACGTTATAGGAATCCGTTAGTTGTCTTCAATTTCAAACTTAAGAGTTGGTTTAGATATATACTTCTTAAGAGATACGTTAAATACTAAGAATTGGTCGGATTGATTTACGTATACGAACGAAGGAGCGGGTACGTAGCTAAGTACTAGAATAGTAGGCCGTAGAGGGTTGAATAGAACCGGGATTAGTATTGGTTTCGTTGTCGGAATTAGTAGTACTAGATTCGGAGGTAGTTAGTCTCCTTGTAATCTATGTTTCTCCTACTTAGATCGTATAGCTAATTGCTCTTAACGTAGTAGTAAGTTCCCCGGAAAGCGCTCGCTATATAACTACGTAGTATTGCTAGTAGGTAATACGCACTTAGGTACCTATAGCGGAGTCTTATTTGCCCCTATCGGTAGAAGCTGTACCTTAATTAATTGATAATTAAGGCGAACATTCTTATTAAAGAGGACTTCTTTTGCCCGTTCGATAGTCCCCGTAATAGGGTCCTAGAGTCTGTAGACGTAATAACCTTTAAAACTAACTAGAATTCGTAGGTAAGCCCTCTTATCGTACTTCTTTAGGAACTTCGCCTTTAGAACGAGTTTATATGCTCTGTATCTAACTCGGCGTATCCAATCGACCTTAGGTATATTACCGTAGAAGGCCTCGTATAGACTCTTAAAGTTTTGAAGCGCAGTTAATAGTACTCGGTTACTAATAAAGACCGCGGCTCTAACAAGTTCGGGCTAGAGTTCGTTCCGGAGGTATCTATCCTATTTTATATAGCGAATAATATTCTATAAGGTCTAGTGCTTCCGCTTAACTATACCGTTTTGATTAGGCTAATAGGGTACTAATATCGTAAAGTCAAGACCTGCCTTATAAGAGGTACGGCAGATAATATTAGTAAATTCCGTTCCTCCGTCCGCTCTTGTACGTTTGGGTTTTGCGTTGAATTAGCGTTCTATTCTCCTCTTAAAGTCCTTGTAGCAACGATAAACCTCCGATAATTCCTTAGATTTTAGGGTATATACCTAGGTGTATCGAGTATAATTATCGACAATAAGAAGGTAGTATCTTTTACCTACGCGGGAGAGTAGTAGTAGACCGCAAAGATCTATATAAACTTTGTTAATACGCGCTATCTCTCGAATTGGTTCTAATCGTAGATGTGTTTGTCGTATCTTATTATAATTATACGACTCGTATATATATTCGGTATCGACGAAAGGAACAGATTGCCTTTTAAGAAGCTCCCGGAGTAGCTTGTTGCCGATATAGCCTAATCTTTAATACTAAATATAAAGCGGAAGTCTTTGAACCGTACGTTAATTGAAAAAGGACGCCGAAAAATCGATTTCCCCTTTCTCGCTATTATCGTTAAAAAACTGGAACTAGTATAAATAGTAGGAGCGTCCTAAAGAGACATCGAGCTTCTAGAGCGAGCCGTACTATATACCTATACAGACTATCTGTTTTATAGTTCGGTCGATAAAGTAGTACGATCCTATAACTAATCGGTATTTAGTATTGTTTCGATTAAGGTTCGCGACCGATAACAGATTTACGCTTATTTGCGGTACGTAAATGACTTTGGTTAAGACTATATTAATAGCTCTACTTAGGCGTATTACTATAAGTATAACCTTTCTAACTCCTACTACGAAGAAGCCCTTTCTACAACTAATTATTTTAATTAGCTTTGCTAGTAGAATATATTTAGTAAATATATTACGCTTATTACAGAGATGTTCCTAAGTTCCTAAGTCAATTACCTAATCAAACTTTTGAAACGTTAAGTTCTTAACATCCGTCCGTTTGACCGCGGGTTATATATTATCCTTAATAGCCTTATAAGAGGCAATTAAGGTAGACTGTATATCTAGAGCAAAGGTCGTAAAGGCCTTAGGGGCGAAGTCGTTAAGCTACGAATAGTCCGTAAACGTCTCGGTTAGTTACTAATAGTCGAGGACTACTAATCCTCCGCAAAAGTTGCTATTAGTATTGATTTGAACCGTAGAACTTTGACTAGTTTAATTTAGGTTAGTATCGTCCGTAGAACCAAAAGTACTAGTTCCGCTAATATAGGCCTGTCTCTAGGGGTAAACAGCGACCTAGTTTAATCCTATTGTACCTCCCTTTGCGCGCTTCTGCGCTATTATTTTATTATACTTCTTAGTATTTTGTTTAAAGCAATCGTTGTTAGTATAATTTGATTCGCCGTATCTAGGCTATTAACACTTTATATTGGCCGGACCAACGAGTTTACTAAACGGTAGGTAATTTGATCTTTGATTAAAAGAGCGCTTTTGTCCTCTAAAACTAGTAGCAAAAGAGCGATTTTCACCTAGAACCAGTACCGTATCGTTATCTCGATTAACTAATTCCTAATAATTTTAAGCAGTACTTAAGAGGGTATCGAAATTATACGACTCCTGTCCTTCTCTCCTACAACCTACGATTCTTGAACTTTGAGTTATCGTTATAACCTATAACTTGAATCGTAGTCTAAGGGCAATAAGGAAGAAGAGACACTTAGTATCCTTATCAAAAACTATAGTACTTCGAAGACGATTGAATTCGTTAAATCGTTTATCGAACTTATTCTAGAATTCTAAGAAGGATAAGGCTTTATCGAAGGTATACGATTGCAGCTTTCTTAGATAAGATATTATAAGGTTAGCCCCCTTGCTAGTATACTCGTAATTAATAATTTGAAGGGCCTCCGAAACAACTTTGTAGTCGATAATCTTAGTATAAAGGTAAGGTACAACTTTGGATTAAATATAGCCTATAAGAGAATTATTTCTTGCTAGCTACGATATCCTTTCGAGCATATACTTATTCTATTTATCGGTAGGTACGTCCTTATTAATTTCTGTCGGTTCTGTATCTTTTCCGTTAAATAGTAAGAGGAAACCAACTTTTTGTACAGCAATCGAGAACTCTCGAATCTAGTTATTATAGTTAGTTATGCCTAATAGTATAGAGCAATAATCAAACGCCTTAGTATCTTTATATACATTTTGGTACTTAGTAATATATTTTCGCGAATTTTCATTTAGGTAAGCTACTAGTTTAGCAGCGCTGCTGCGGCTACCTCTGCGAGACATATTATCGTTAATAGTAATTCCGCCGATTAGAGCTAAAGCAAATCGCCGGATTAACTCGTCGATTATTAGTAAACTCTCTCGAGTAGGTAAGGAGTCTCTTTCTTCGTTATCGGTTATAGAGTCGCTAGAATTAGTTAAGTCTAATAAGTTACTCGATAAACTAGAAGATAAACCAGACGAATCTAGGGCCGAGTTCTCCTAGGCTAGAGGAAGTTAGGGGGCTTACGTAGGGGAGCTTTAATCGGTAGCTAAATTGATTATAGCCTCGGTACGGCGGACAGGTTACAGATTTTTTAATAGGTATATAGAACTATTACCGCCTTGTACCCGTAATTTTATAGTATTGCCTTATTCGTCGATATCGAAGAAAGTAATTAATCGGTCCTTCCGAGTAACAAGCGGTAATTCAAGAGTTGAATAATAGCGAGGTACGCGAGGGGGGTAATAGTTAAGCTGTCTTATACGAAGATCGTATACGTCTTTCTTTTGCTTTTGTTTCTACCGGTAGGTTTGTACGTATTCTATAGCCTTTAAACGGCGAATTGCTACTTACTCTAGAGTTTTATTCTCTGGTTTCTTAGGCATTTTGCCGTAGATATATAGTACTCTAGATCTTAATAACTCGAAGCTTAATAAGTAAAATCTCTGAGTATATTAGGTATAGTAGGTTACGGAGACTAGAAAAATGTAAGCGGAACTTAAAAGAGTAAGCATTAAACTCGATTAGGGTATAAAATACGAGGGTAAACCTCGACTTCCGTTTAGCGTCGTAAGATAAAAAATTCTTTAAGAGCTATAAGCTTCGTAGCGTTAAAAAATGCGGACTCCGGTTAGTTACTCGTTGTCGTATCTCTACGGTATCGGGGTATCTATTAGAATTTTCTTATATATAGCGTTGTACTATCGAATTGTAGATTTTCTTAATATTAAATAGGTAGAAGAACACTGAAAAATTGACACTAAGAAGATTGATACTAGAGACTCAAAGGTAGAGAGAATAATAATAATATATAGCTTATAAACGAGATTGACTGTAAATTAGTAGTTAAATACTATAATAATCTGTCCGGGCTTATAACCTATTGAAGATTATAAGCTATTAAATTGATTCAGTATCTAATGCACCTACCCGTACCTTATATCTTTGTGCTTAAGCGACATCGGTTATACCCCTGACCTTGACCCAGTTACTAACACCTCTTACTCTCTTTTCTCTTTTTTGAATTTCTACCGTCTTACTCTCTCCCGCAGCCATTCCACTAGTGTGCTGATTCTGGGAACCAATTGACCGTGAGATTCTGATGTTTTTCTTTTTGGGACGAACCAGGTTCAACCATAATGCTGTGTTTTGTAAAAGGTACCTACCTACTTTATTACTAAACTTACCGTCTACGAAAAAAGAAGGTTTGGGCGGATTTTGCCTTCTAACTTCTCTCTGTTCCGTCTCTCTCTCTATGCTGCTTTTTAGTAAACAAGTTGCTGGTACGTGAGTTTTACTTTTACTTTCCCTCCCTCCCGCCTCCGACTACCTTACTGAGCTTTCTCCTTGATTGCAGGGCTGTTTTGTGTGGTCACGTTTTTTTGCATGAGAAAGACCCAAAAGAGATAGGAAAAGTAAAAAGCTTCAATACTTACGTGAGAGGGTTGGTTGATTAGTCATCGGATATTTTTCTTTCATCGGAGGAAGGGTGAAAGTGGAGGAGAGGGTTTCACAAAAGGCATTTGCAAGGAGCCGCCTATATGTAGGGAACCGACCTGACCTACAGGTACTTTCCTCTGTCTAATACCTTTTCAATCACCCACTCTTTGCCCTTCTTGACTTGCACCACCTTCCACGCTTTCAAGGGCCAGCCGGTCGATCCCATTGCGGATGGATCGCGCAGAGCAACAGATACCCAACACTGTCTTCTCCCTCCAGCCAGTTCCTCGATTTTACCAATCGGCTTTCCGATATCTAGCAAAGGCGTGCCCTCCGCTAAACTGGCCAGTTGCGGCTGCGTTACGGGCGTGAGGGGATGCAGACGTGTGCGCTGAGTTGCACCGACTGTGCGAGCTGCTGCACGACTGAGTGAGGAATAGACAATGTATGGTGGCATCTCGGTGGGCGAAAGACGAGCAAGAGGACTGCTGGAGTGCACAAATACGCACTTTTGTCGCTCTTGTTCTTGCATGCTCGCTTGCCGGTCCACGTCAGTCGTGCTGGCTTGGAGTGTGCGGTAGGCGACTTCGATTGCGCGCTGCGGCTTTCTGCCTATGGACACTGCTCCTGGGAGGAGATCATAGCGTACGGCTACTTGATCTATGTAGCCCGCAGCGGCGATCTGCTTGATGCGGCCGACTTCTTTGTCGGAGGGTGGGCGGAGCGCTGCCCTGAATGAGCGGTCAGCGGCTTCCTTGAGAAGGCCTTCGGTAAGATTGTGAAGTTGCCGGCGTAGGGCTTGTACTTCAGTCATGCCCTTCTCCCGCAGGAAGTGCTTCTCACAGAAGGCGGCCGATTCCCCTTCTGCTTCTGCATGAGCATGGGCCACGACGGCGGTGAGGACTTTCATGGCGTCAGAAGGGTCGCCCTTGTAGGTAAGTGCTTCTCGAGCACGACCATAAGCTTGACGACGCTTCTCTGACATGGTCTGAGCTGCGGCGTCCATGAGCTTCCGTGCTGATCTGGTTTCGTAATCGCTGTCTTCTTCCTCGCCATCTTTCTTCGCGATTTGAGGTTCGGGAATAAAGATGTCACCTACTGCCAGACCTGCGACGAGAGCGACAACATATGCAAGAACTTCATAATGTCGACCCAGCATCAGCATTTTACCAAAGCGAGGATTGACAGGGTAGTTGATCAGTTCTTTGCCTGTTGCCGTCACCTGGCCAGTTCTCGCGTCAATAGCGCCCAAATTCTTGAGCAAGCGCTCAGCTTGAGCAAGCTGTTCGAGCTGGGGAGGGGTGGGGAACGGAAAGTTGACCACATTGTCCACCTTCATGTTCTTGAGTTGCAAGACTGTGCCTTCTATGGGTGTCCGCAGGATCTCTGGCAAAGTGTGCTTCTCGAAATAGCGCTCGTAGATTGCAGAGCTGTACAATCTGTAGCAGTGGCCTGGACCAGTACGTCCAGCACGACCTAATCTTTGAGATGCGCTGGCTTGAGAGATCCAGTCGACCACGAATTGTTGGACACCGGTCTCAATGTCGTACTGCTTCTCTTTGCTACGACCACAGTCAAAGACGTACTTGATACCATCTATAGTGAGCGACGTCTCAGCCACGTTGGTTGCGAGGATGATCTTCCGAACGCCCTCTGGTGTTTTAACAAAGATCTGATCTTGCTGGGCTTTAGATAATGCCGCGTACAGAGGCAGGATTTGAGCTTTGAGAGGCACTCGCGCCGTTGTGGCAGTAGTTGATTCCACATCGACCGCAAATTCTGCATCATCGTCTTCCACTTCGTCCAGGCCGGTGATCTCTGCCTCCGAATCTGTATCGTCGGCTTCGCCTTTTCCGTCGTCCTCCATGAAGTCGTTGATCACCTTGTCTCTGGACGCGCGATTTGCAGAAAGTTGGAAACTGGCGCTCTCGAGCGTCAGCTGCTCTTTTAACCTCTTCTGCACTGTCTGGATATCATCTTGTCCTGTCAAGAATACAAGTATATCTCCAGGTGGCAGCTTCTTGTGCCCTCTTGCGACCTTGCGAACCATTTCGGCAACATAGTCGCGCTGTGTCTTTCTGGCAAAATGCTCTGTGACTTGGTACTGACGTCCTTCTGCTTCGACAATAGGCGGCTTCAGCTTACGAAACAGTCTGTCATTCATCAAAAAGTCGGTGACCCGTAAGGTTGCGCTCATTATAATGAGCTTAAGAGGCACGAATTCCTCCGGTTTCTCACGACTCAGGTCTTGACGGAGGGGCACTATGCGCGACAGCATACCGATGAGAATATCAGTATTCACGCTGCGCTCGTGTGCCTCATCTATGACAATGGCACTGTACTTTTGCAAGGCAAAGTCTTGCGAAATCTCGCGTAGCAGAATACCATCAGTCATGAACTTGATCCGTGTGTCTCGGCCTACACTGCTGTCGAATCTGACCTGGTGTGCAACTTGCGCGCCGTACACCTTCCCAAGTTCGTATTTGACACGGTCTGCGACAGATGTTGCGGCGACCCTTCGAGGCTGCGTGATGCCAACCATGCCTTTGGTAGCATAACCATTTTCCAGTAGCATCTGTGGCAATTGTGTCGTCTTTCCAGACCCCGTTGCGCCGCACACTATCGTGACTGGATTGTGATGCACGGCTTCCATGATCTTTTGTTCGTCCTGCACGACAGGCAACTTCAGCCGCGCCTCCTGGACCTGAGGATCTCGCTCTACAACCACGGAACTTGCGGGTCGGTAAGTGCTTTCTGTGAGCTGTGATGCTGCAGCAAGATCCATGGCAACTGGGTCTGGTGTTGTTTCCCTCGGCTTGAATACCGCCTTTGCTGCATCCTGATTATCTATTATAGATGAGGGAGCGAATCCGACTACCTCATTTCGTTGCGAGTCTGCCCATGCTTTGAAAGCAGACACTCGGGCTGGCTTGTCGTCAGCCATGACTTCGTCTTCGTCTTCGTCTTCTTCTTCATCATCATCATCTCCCGAATCATCTGTCATGCTTTCATCCTCATCCGAGTCACTCGAGTCGCGATCAACCTCAGACTTATCAGAATCTTGCGATTCCGATTGGTCTACATCTGACTCAAAGCCATTCCATACATCGGAGCCCTCTTGCGAGGCCTGGTCATCCTCCTCATCCTCCTCATCGCTCTCCTGAGCTGGTTCCGGGTTGAAGACAAGACGCGGCTTCTTTGCGGCCGACTTCTTCTGGCGTTTTCTCCGCGCGATAATAGGCTGACCACTGTCGTCCAGCTCCAAGGGTCTCTTCAAGCCTCCGCCCGAGACCACCACAGCAGGAGTGACAGCCGGCTTCTCGACACAAATGGCAGTCTGCGGCGCGCCCGTGACACTTCCATCGTCACCCTCCGAATCGTCCTCGATGGCTTCTGGTATATTTGGTCGCCGCTCGAACAGAATATCATCGTAGTTGCCTTTGATCCCTGCCTCTCTCTCCTTCAATGCTCGCTGCAGTTGTTCCCGCCTAGTATCGCTGACCCGACTCAATTGCTTCGAGCTCCTGAGCAGACTCGTGTCCACCTTGTGCGCAGCGAGTTTCTTGAGCAGTTCCTGGTTCTCCTCCTTTTTGAGCTTCGTCTCAACGTATTTGTCCAGCCGCTTCCGCTTCTTGGATGAAGCCTTCGACTCGGGCTGAAGTGCCACCAATTCCTCTTTCAGCTTCCGTCGCCTTTCATCTTTCTCACTCGTAGTCGCAGGCACGATCTCGGTGGCATTGGCCTGATCTGCCTCTTCGTGCAGGGACAGGCCATTTTTTCGGTTTGCTTCCTTTTGTCTTGCTATCTTTCTGTGCTTCCTCTCCCGCGGCACGAATTTGGGCGGCATGTTTCGCGTGATGATCCAAATTCCAAAATCACTGCACAGTCGCATCGCATTTCACTTTTTGAGCGGGTACCTCCACGTTTTACAGGGATCGGAACTCGGTCCGTTCCCGTTCCCCCATCCCCGTGCCGAGAACCTTTAGCTGGCTGCAGGGCATTGGGGAGCGAAATAAGGTGCTCAGCTTCACTTCACGTCACGGTTGTAAGGGCAGACTCAGTAAAGACGAAATTAACAGGGGGGAAAAGGTATAATCATGGCCGCCGTGACAGCTCAAGCGAATGTCTATCCAGCGCCCTTTCCAGCGCCCTCAAGGTCAACATCGGGACTTGTCAACGACACTCTGACCACCGTAACATCGATTGCATTTGCAGACAAGATCATCATCACGCTTTCACAAGCCGGCAAGCTATCGCACTGGGCTCATGTCGCACTAGCATCAACCTCAGCAGACCCCATGAACCCCAATCCTGTTTCAAGCGGAGATCCCGAGAATGATTTGCTTCCCATGAGCCACTTGACTGCTACGACTGTTCTCGGTGGCACGAAGCGCGAGGATGAGGTTGTGGGGCAGACATTGGCAACGACGATTGCTAGTGCGATTTTGATGAAGCGGCCGAGTGAACAGAGGTTGTTGGTCGTGGGGCTGGGCTTGGAGGACGCTGCAGGGAGTTTGACGGGAAGGGCACAGTTTGATGAGGCTGTGGGGCTGGTGTTGGCGGTGTTGTGAAGCATGTCGTGTGCCCAATTTTTGACGCTGGCGCGCACTGGAACTGTCATGTCTGCCGTGGACCCATCTCCGATGATCTACTTGATCAGCTGTGGCACCACGTGGGCGGCTCTCGACAGCTCGAGTGCTCGAATTGATCAGGGAGAACTGCTGCAGTGGACAATCAGCATGACTTTACGAGGAAAGCACATCGCTAAGGTCGACATTCCATCTTGATCTGAGCATGGTTCGGAGTGTTTCGATCCTTCGAAATAAGGAGCGAGCCAAACGAGAAGTGACCAGCAGATTGCTGCAGGATGACATGAAGTGGGATAGACCAAGCTAGCTGCAGACTGCAGTCGTGCGAAACCATGTCATGATGTGCAGCGCACTTCAATACCGTATTTGCTCGATGAGTCGATGCACTCCTCAGCATGCTACCCCATCTAATGGAGCAAGAGAAATGACCAAAGTTTTCCCTTTCCTTTGTTTACATGCAGCCTAGAACTTCTTTTACCAGGACGCCTTCGCTAATCTCAACACACTGGTTGATCCATACAACCAGTAGATACCCCGGGAGAATTGGACGTAAGGTGATTTTCTCGTGCACTCCATAGTCGTTGGCCTATTCCATCACTAATAGGGCCGACCTGATCCGTAACCGCCTCTGTAACCTCCGCCACCACTTCCTCTAGGGCCGTCATATCCGCCCCCAGGTGGTCGTTCTCCTCTACGCCAGTCTCCGGGAGGCCCTCCGCCGCCTCCTCGTGACCCCCCATATCCTGGCCCTCCTCTCCCATAGCCTCTGCTATAGCCACCACCACCTCTCCCGTAGTCATTCCCTCCCCCATAACCATTCTCTCTTGGTGGAGGTGGCCCACGATTTCCGTATCCACCATCCCTTGGTGGTCCTCTGCCACCGTGTGGTGGTAGTGGCTGCACCCTACCATCTGCTCCCGGGGGATAGATCGAACAAGCAACGTAGTCTCCAATCACAAACCTCGCACCAGCCAAAGTCTTATGCGCATCCCCTTCCAGATTATCCTTAATATCTAGCATCTCGTCTTCATCGTCTTGGAGATCTGCAGCAGAGCCTCCAATCACCACCGAGCCCAGTGGTTTGTCAATCCATTTCCCCCGATTCCCCTCCACCACTGTCGCGCGCGTGTCGGGAAATATCAATTTGAAGACCAGACGCGTGCCCACAGCCGGGGAAGGTATCACGCCGGATGGCAGGACAGAGGTGAAAAGGGCTGTGAGCTCGCCAAGGGTACAGTTGGGCCAGGTGTAGATTTGGACGCTCTGTGAGCGGATCGTCGAAGGAAGGAGAGAGGAGTAGTCGGGTATGTTGGTAGTATCTGGTGGAGGCGCGACACTGAATTCCCACGGGTCGAGAGCACGCGACTGTCGCCAGAAGAGGCGGAGGAGGAAAGGCGCCGTCGTTGCGCGATCGATGCTGCTGCCGGCTTCGGGTTGAAGCGCCATCGTGATGGTGAGAGAACGCGTTCGTGTTATACGCGCATGGACAATGCAAATTAGTGTCTAGTTGTTGCAATCAACAATGGTGGTGTATTGGAGAAAGCTTGATGGAGCTGTCGAAGTTTAGTTCGCCAAACAGCTCAGGATTCTGGCTTCCAAGTTTCTTTGGTTGCATGCCACTCCATCATCTTCCCACTCTCTTATACCAACGCAGCTGACGAATTACCGCCACGATGGACTTTGCCAGCCTGATGAAGTCGCAGATTGCGTCGTCGACTGCAGCCAAACCGGAAGACAAGGGCAAGAAATATCTCAAGCGATCGGAAATCGAGGCGCAACGACAAGCAGACTATGCGCGCGAACAGGAACAACTGGAGAAGGAACGATTGGAAAGACTCGATAAGAAGCGCAAGCGAGAGGAAGACGAAGCAGAGCGGCTGCGCGCGCGCGAGGAGAAAAAGCAGCGATTGGCGATAGAAAGCAGGAAGTTGCGACAAGAGGAAGAAGAGGCGGCGGAGAGAGCGCGAAGAAAGCGCCTGGGTCTGCCAGAGTTGCAGAAGAAAGATGACGAAGCGGCGCCACTGAAGGAGGGCGAAGAGGACTTGCCAGAGGAGAGCCTACTAGCGAAACTGCACGATATGGGCGAGCCTCGCATCCTGTTTGGCGAGACACATGTCCAGCGACTTCGACGATTCCGCAAGCTGACAGCCAAAGCGCTGGCACCCAAGTTGACCACAGGACCGATTCCTACAACCCTGGAACTGGTTGCGGAGGCCGACATGAAAGTGCCGGAAAGCGTGCCCAAAGACCCAGAAGCTCAGAAATTCCTCCTCCGCCAGCTTGCATCTTACTTCGATATGCTGCTTTCTGAGTGGCAAAATGCTCTTGCCCGGCGAAGCAAAGAAGTCAAAGACTCTGCGACAGGAAAGCAGGCGTACAACTCCTTTATCGCGGCTAAAGACAATCTCGTCCCTCTGTTCAAGAAACTCGAGACCAACACCATTGACGAGGCTATCCTGCCGCCTATTCTAGAGATTGTAGATCTTGCGCAGAAGAAGCGTTACGTGCACGCGAACGATGCGTACCTCAGGCTCAGTATTGGAAAAGCTGCGTGGCCCATCGGAGTCACCATGGTAGGCATTCACGAGCGAAGCGCGAGAGAGAAGCTTCATGGCGACAACAATCAAGCGCATATATTGAGTGATGAGACTACGCGGAAGATGCTGCAGGGTATCAAGCGTTGCTTGAGTTTCGCGCAGACGAGATGGCCGCCCACTGATATTGGACAGCTGATGGGTTGATATCAGCCCATCTCAGTTCTAAAAACCAGCAGTCCAATATGAATTCCATGCCACAGCATCACGAGAGTGCATCGTTGACCGAGCCCAGCAGCCACGATATGTCCTCTTGTGGTCGCGCTCGATGACCTGCAGCATCACGTTCGGTGCAGTGAATGAAGAAGTTGACGCGCTCCCCAGGAAGCATATCACAAACATCTTGAAGCAGTCGAAAGATCATGGTTCAGTTCGTGTCGGTGAAGTTAGCGGTACCTATATGAGTTCTTCACGATACTTGGCATGCACAACCGTATTCGATTGCCCGTTGCGGCAATCCGAAGCGACGCGCAGTTTTGCTCTGAGCGGCCGCCTCATGCTCACCTCACCTCACCTCGCTTCACCTCACTTCACCCCACTTCATCCCACTTCACTTCACTTCACTTCGCCTCTTTCATCCCGGCTCTCGTTCTTCTGATCTCACAATGCGCTCCAAAGTGCAATGATCGCGCTGCAGGGATAGCATAATGTATAAATCACTAGACCGCCCAATAGCGGAACGACAGGAACAAATCTGGCTCACCCCACTGCGCACCTCAGCTTGATAGTGCGATAGTGCCGATCACTCCACAGCGACAATCCGAGGCACCAATGCCATCGGTATACCTCATCTGTAGCTGAAAGGAGAATCAACACGATGCCTGAGGCCGGCATGAAGCGTCGCTCTACCAAGAAGAGCCGCGGAGGATGTTCACGCTGCAAGGCCCACCATGTGAGCCCTCACGATGCAGAAGCTTGGTGTGCGTCTCCAGACTGACCACAGTCTAGTTGAAATGTGATGAAACCAAGCCCGAGTGTGGTCGATGCAGTCGACTTGGTATCGCGTGCCCTGGGTACGTGCAGAAGTACAAGTGGCTGAACGACATCAACAACCTCAGCGCTGCCACACATGCCACCACCCACAACGATACTGACGTTGACCTCGACTGGCTGGGAATGACATCTCCGCCTGGCAGGCCGATGGCTACTCCAACAGTGGCAGAGGAAACTCCCGCATCCATTCCTGCCAGTCCCTTGTGGGATAGCTTCGCCTTACAGGACCAACCATTTCATGTTCTGGACTTTTCTCAGCTCATCGAGCCCAAAAATACCGATATCGCTACCATTGATGTAGCAGGGCCGTCGCAGCGTTCGGACATGCTACAATCTTTACGAACGCATAAGCGAGAGGTTCAGCCACGAGCACAAGCATCATTGGCGCACCAGCCTTCAGAATTACTATCGTACTACTTCAAGAATGTCTCGAAGCTATATGCCGTCTATGACGATTACCGGAACCCTTTCAGATCTGTTGTGTCCAACATGCATAGTCACTCGCAGGTCATCAGTCTCGCAGCGCAGTCAATGGCTGCCGCTTGTCTAAACGAAATTCATCCTCGATTCAATATTATTGGCAGGAAGCTTCGTCAAGAAGCCATGAACTTGATATTCAGTCAACCTCAGCTCGATAGCAAAGCGTTGCTTGCTCTGATGATGTTCGGTCCTACTGGAAATTGGCACGATGCGACTGACCTAGGCCTGGACTTTTATGCCATGATGCGAGACCGCATCGATGATCTGGCTGCCACGGGCGAGCTCGTACAACACGAAGTGAATCTGAACAGCTTCAATTTCTTCAGAGAGGCCATGGTGTTTTGGGAGATGCTGTTGACATTCGTCGCAGATGACACAGCTGTTCGGAAATGCTCAACGCCGCTGGGACCTGTGCTCACTTGTCAACCGGCCAAACACATCGCCCACCCCTGGACAGGAGTCGCTCGCGATGCCATAGAGATCGTCGCAGATGTTGGTAGACTGGTCCGCTCGCATCGGAAGCGCCATCGACAGCAGGGCTTTGTCACACAGGCCTATGTGCATCAACTGAACCACGATCTGGAACGAGCGCGAGAGTTGGAGAACCAACTTCTCGCATGCCGGCACCCCGATGCAAACAATATAGTTCACCCTGAAGACGCAGAGACACCGGTCTGGCATCTCACCACTTTAGCCGAGCTGTATCGCTATGCAGGCCTGCTACAGCTTTATCGGGTCTTTCCCGACACCTTGTCAAGCAGGCTCTCGGTCGAGGACAATCATGCGCCTGCACCACTGGTCCCAGATGAGCATGCCATGGACATAGCGCATAGAAGGAGCAAGTGGCTTACGTCATTCGCGCTGGAAGCTCTGAGACTGCTAGAGACTATGCCCCTCGAATCTGGCACTCGGGACTTTCAACCTTTCCTGCTCGTGATTCTCTCATCTGAACTTGTCTGCGAATTGCCAGGTGTTGATCATCCAGATGGAGACGAGGAGGTCGACAGCCATTTCGTAGAAGTTGCTTTGATGCGAAAATTGGTACTTGATCGACTCACAACCTGTCTGACGCTTTTGCCCCCGAAACCCATCAGAGTGTGCATCGATATTGTCAAGGAGACGTGGAGGAGGATTGATGCGGGACAAAAAAACGTCTACTGGCTCGATGTTGTGATACAAAACGGCTGGGAGACTATCATGGCTTGATCTGACTTTCTTCGCTCATCTGGCCGTCCTTGCTACGATGGCCAATCTTGTGGGGTCCACCATTCGTACTGGGGGTTGAAACAATTCGGCAGTTCTCTCATCATATCGTCCCAAAAGTCGGTCATGACGGCGTCGCTGTTGATGTTGGGACTGATAGTCTCGGCGATGTGCACGGAATCGTGCTGCACCATGGTTTGTGGCTCGCAGACGGTCGACAATGGCGCACTAGCATCTGCCTGGGGTCGAGGTGCCACTGACTCCTGTGCAACGAGCTTCATGGCATTATAGAGCTGTTGCACAGTGTCTCGACACTTGCCCGCTGCGAGCGACCAGGGCTGCATCCTGTCGAAGAAAGTGATCGCTTTCTCCACGTCTTGTTCCCAGCTCTCGATTTCGTCGTCGCTCTCGCGAGTTGATTGATTGTCCATGATCCCTGGTGTTTGCGGCGAGCTTGCTACAGCGGATGGCCGCGCCAGATTGGAGTATAGCGAGACGAGTGGCACCATCACCGCTTGGTACATCATCCACACGGCGTGCCCACCTGCAACTAAGTTCTCCTGGCATGAAGTCTCAATATCTGCTATTGTCTGGGTCGCGAACATGCGACATCTACCAACGATCAGGCGTTGGTCAGCTGACATAGTCGACCAAGAAGATCCGCGCAATGCAGTGGCAAGCAGTGTGGGCCTGCACATCAATAGCTTGAGATTCTGATAGCGCCAGTGCATGATGGCTCGCGGCGTCAGCAGCACTCCTGGACAGTCTATTGGGCCTCTTTTTTGTGGTTGAGAGCAGTTTGACAAAGTCCTGCTCCTGGATGGAGGCCGATCCGGCCTGAGCGAGATCCTGGCCTGCTGCTCTTCCGCGCTCTCACGGACTTGCTTATGTTGAGCACGTCGTTCAATGGCATCCCGCAGTATTGGAGGGAGCTCCTCGTGCCACCTTTCGAGCTCTATATCTAGAGCCTGAAGCTCTTCGAATGGTATCGTGATATTAGCAGCAACTGCATCTTGCACCTTGGTGGCCAGTTTGCAGTATGCGACATTATGCCTCAACGGAAGAAGTCCTGTATGCTGTGTATCGTCCAATTGCTCTGGCAATCGAGGAAAACGAGTCGTCATCCCTGCAACAGCTCTGCCGAGTAAAGGTTGCCCTGTGGTACTGCTAGCCCAGGTATCGAGGACATAAAGTGTCCACCACGTCCGCCTGCGTGCTTCCGTGGTTGTTTCTGCGTCGCCCTGGCATGCTACACTCACAGTTGGTGGGGCTTCACTGTCCCGATGCAGCCCTTGGGCGATTGCCATTCTGAGCGTTGCACCCATTATGGCGTATGCTTCGTTTGATCGGTTCAGAAAACGGAGATAACAACCCGAAAGTAATGCAAACGCCTGCAAGGTTAGAAGATTACCGCTGCCGAAAGTCTCCGTATCCATGTGCTTTCGAGCACGTTGGTAGTAAACGAGATGCTCCTCGCTGTCACATGTCGAGCGCGACAGTGAGCCAAGTGCAAAGACCATGTTCAATAGACATAACCAGGGTGGATCTCGTCGCGATTGATGCTGATAGCGGTATCGGAAGCTTTCTTCGTCCAGCATTGGCATAAGGATGTGTACATGTGCGAAATAAGAGTCGATGAGTTTGATGCCGATACTTTCCGGTGGCAATTCGTCTGGGTCTGGATCCAGGTCATGGGGCCGCGAGCATGTGCCTTCGACGCTCGAACCAACAGTTTGCGCTGGCATTATGAATGAACGAGCCCTAGGGACAGTTTCGAACATCACTTTGATCGCGGTGGTAATGCTCGAGACTCCGACGTACGACGACGAGGCTTCATCGACCAAGGACAGTCCTTGGACAATATCATCGGGTGTACCTTGGATAATGTCGTGCAGGCGCTTCAAGTCTTCCAATTCCAGACATTGATCTGGAGTCTCCTCGGACGCATCGTGACCATTATTCATCCCCTCGGACTTGCTGACGCTTTGCAGCCGTGCAAGTGGGCGACCATGGTGGTGATCACGGCATGTGCCCGCTGCTGACAAGTTCATCGCCAGATCGATCATTCCGTCTCGGGACAAGGCAACGACCTCTTGGAGATCTTTACCGGGGAACAATTGTGCGACAATTGCTTGATATTGATCGACTTGCGACTGCAGTCTCTCGACTATTCTACTGCATGTCGTCAACATCCATCTGGCACATATGAAACTGGTTGGGCGGCCCGCATACCTCTTCGGAGGCACCACCCTCTGTGTGGGTTTCGAGTACATGCATCGATCCGGGATCCTGAACCATTCGCATTGTGCACAGGGCTGCAGGCCATCGCAGCGGATTTTTCGCCTTCTGCATTCAACGCATGCATTGGCTGTGGAAATACGTCGAGGGCTCCTCTGCGGCCGTCCACCTCTGCCGGTCGTGGCGATTTCCGAAGAGGTAATCACCTGGAATGTGTTAAACATGGCGACGACGAAAAGATATCCCAAAGCGGCATGGCACCTCTGGGGTCGAATGAATGAATTGCCACACTTCTACTCTTCTATATAGGTAAGGTAGTTATATCATCCTTCGTCGTGCTGTCGACTAAGCGTCCTGACGGCGGACTCAGCGGGGTTTGCGTATGTCTTCTGGCCTTGGCGTGGTTTATTTGCTGTTAGCCTGTTGATGCCAAACATTCCATATACCAAGAATGGCATACTGTGAGAACGAGAGCAGCAGCAGCAGCAGCATCGGGAGGTATATTTAGCACACCAACTCTGGCTCCCATCTGCCATTATTATGATGCTGGTGCTGATGATGATGATGACGATGATCCCATTCACTTCCCATACGACATCACAGCCGCATAGTGGCATCTTCGGCATCCGACCCAGGATCAACAATTAGCCTTTTTGGGAATGCGCGGCTCTCTCGGTCGAAGTTCAAGCAGGTGGCTTGGCGTTACAGTAATGTTGTCGTTGCGCGCAGCCCTCGCTTACATCACATTCTACCCTCCCCCCACCCCCCTTTCCATGCTCCGGGTAGGACCACAGCCCAGAGATCTATACTCCCTTGCGAGTGGTCCGCTCGTCGAGAAGAAAGTTCTTGTTCCTGGTCCTGTGTACAAAAACACTGCCCATTGTACGGATTCGGAGGGCCTGTCCCCCACCCCCATTTCCCTGACTGAGGGCCCCTACTATGCCTGTCTGCCTGCACAGGCTGTACACACCCTCCAAAGGAAATGATATGTTTTTTTTCTGGCGGAGTCTCACGGCAAGCCAGCCCACCAGGCGCCAAACGGGGAAGATGGATATTTTGCGACGATTATTGCTACGAGGGAGGGAGGCAGTAGGAGGTACTGTAGCACCGCCCTCGAAGATCACGAGAGCGGAATGATGAAGCAAAGTGTCTTCTGTCCTATTGATCGCGTACATCATCCATCATCCATCTAGGAGCGCGGAAGATGATTGCTTTTCACGCAGGGCTCCTTCTCTTCTACCAGAGAGAGAAAATGTCAATTCATACCTGGGTAGGTAAGATGCCACTACCTACGGACGTAACCACCCTCCGACTATGTCTTCTGAGATTAGGCTCGTCTCGGAGGGACGGATCATCATCATCCTCATCAGCAGCAGCAGCAGCAGCATCGCTGGGACATCCAAACGTGTTCTTTCTCCCTTGGCATACGTCCACATTTGGTAAGGGAGACCAGCAGCCTTTTTTTCCTCTTCTTGCCTTCTGCACCCTTTGTTTTTTCCGTTCCCGTTCGTCTTCAAACACTCCCCTACATGTACCTTACCTCACTTCCGATTGCTTGGCAGCCCCTTCTTGGCTGCGGTGCAAGGAAAAGTCCACGGGTGAGAGAGAGAGAGAGAGAAGAAATTCCAAGTCAGTTTCAGAATACCTTTAGCCAACAACAATATACGAGATGGGATACCGGACTTGGACTGTTGTTAGACGACTTTTTTACCTAAGCCACGCAATGGGGAGGAAAACTGTATGACAAAGCCCCAGTGCCCCTAGGAAAGTGTCTGTGTGTGACTAAGCCACAGGTGAGCGGCTATGGCCAGTGCAGTGAACTTGTATACCAAAATAAATCTGCCAAGCATTCTTTCGTTATTCAGCAAGACGTACCTGACCCTAGGAGGTAGAGAGGTAAGGTATGCAAGCGGCTATGCCTCGCTTGGCTGGCTAGCTGGCTTGGCTTGGCTTCTTTCCGGTTTGAAGCATAGTTTTGTTGTAAAAAGAAATTAAAATCAAAATCAAAAATTGAAAATCAAAAGGGCTATAGAAAAAAAGAAAAAGTAAAACGGAACCTTCCCTACCTTAATCAAACTGCGCAGTGAGGCACCTACCTAGTAACTGCTACTCAATCTCCCTCAAGAAATGTTGTTTTATTGTTACTACTTCGAGTTCTAAATTCAAAAAATATTTATCAAGAACCTCGTCGTTAGAGTCTTGCTATAGAAGCATATTGTATCTAAGTAATCAGATCATCTATGTAGATACCTACCTTAGGTATCTTAGATAAGACAAACAAAAGAGTACAAATAGCAAAGAAGCTATAGACATTTTCCCTCTTCGCTCTTAGAAAAACAAAATCTTGCTGTATAATGAACCTAGAATCTATAAGTACATGGTATCTAAGTACAGCAAAAGAGTAAATCAGTCAAGTCCTCTATACTCGATACCTACCTACCTACCTGCCTTGAAGGACCCAATACCTTGGAGAGATGAGCAATTTTCTATTTACCTATGCATATATTAATATAGCATTTAAATCGATTGGGAGGGGAAGAGAGGAGGTGGTATGGAAATGAGAAAGGACACAAAAGCGCCCTTCTCTTTTTTCTTTTATAGGAGCTGCGAGATGGGGAACATCATGTAGGTAAGGTACCTTAGGTGTACATCAGGTACCTACCTCCTTATACAGCATGCTAGGGTCAGCTTCAAGAAAAGATCACCCTGCTGGATGCGTTAGGGGACGGACACCATTGAGTATATGGCCGCGTACAGAGCCGGGACCATCATCATCATCTATACTTGAACGCTATCATATCAAGCTACAGGGGTGAATCCAGCTTCGATTACTTACTTATACAGAGCACTAATTCATCGCCAATGCGACGATAATTCTAGCCTGAAGAAGGGTCTAGCTGCGGCAATTGCCTCCCAGAAGTCCTCTTATTGTACATTTCGTCTTTCTCGTGCTCCAGTTCCCCGTGCCCATGCAGATGCTAGAACGCAATCAAGTGTTCGGTAGTTCATAACCGTGGATCCAGGTATTGTTGCAATGTCCCGACCAGTCAGCCTTTGACAAGGACCAACGGCCTATGCGCACAGGTGAACCTACGAGCTCGCGGCAAGGGCTGGAGCGCCACCACGAGGGCCGCGTGCACGTCCACCGCCTTCACCACCACGTCCACGATATCCTCCTCGGCCTCGGCCTCGGTTCTCTCCATCGCCGCGACCGCGATAATGGCCACCGCGTCCACCGCGGCGGAACTCGCCATCGCCACGCGCACGGGTATTGCCACGGCCACCACGGCGGCCCGCGACTGGGCTGAAGCCGTCGTCGGCAGGAGCTGGCTCAGCACCATAGCTGCCGTTGGTCTCGCCTGGTGCCTTGGTATCCCAGCTTTCGCCCGCCTTGTTGCCCGTTGCAGCCTCGTGCGATTCTTCGGCCCAGCTGGTGCTCTGCTGCTGTGATTGTACTGGTGCTGCAGCAGGAACGTCGACCTCCTCATTTGGACGAGGCACCATCTCGTAGCTGTCGTCCAGTCCGCTCTTCTCCGCACCAGCTGACGTGCCGGCAGCATTGGTGTCCCATCGCTCGCCAGCAATGTTACCGCCGTCTCCTGATGTTCCCTGCACTGCTGTAGGTTCCGGGAGAGTGTGGGTACCAGTGCCGGTGGGTGCATCGATCTCAGTGAGGCCAGCGTGAGTGATGGTTGGATCTGATCCAGAAGTCTCTTCGTTTGCGTTTGCCTCCTCCACGCCTTCAAGCCATGCCTCCTCGTTGTGGAATGGGGCATGCGCAAGCGCTGCTTGCTTGACATGTGCATCTATACCGTGAAATCAGTGCTTGTGCGACTCGAATAGGTCATGGAGCACGTGAAGCGCAAGAGAAGTCGGGATGCACTATACCAATGCTTGGACGGTGCAGAAGAAGAGTAAACTTACAAGTGATGCGAGTTGGAAGACCGTCGATGGCTGGGACCGGCTCCTGGCTACCCTCAATAAGGTTCACAGCGGCGTCAACAGCCTTTTCATCGCCTCCGTAGACAAGTAGTAGGGCACCCTCGAACGCCCTGCTTTCCTCGGTATCCGTCTCTTCCTCTGCTGCACGCTTGGCAGCCGCAGCACGGAGGAATTGGGAGAATGTGAGTAGCTTCTTACGCAGCTCTGCTCGAGCACTCGACGCACCCTCGAGTGTCAAGTCCTCTCGCAACTTTGATGTGTTTCGCTCGTGTTCGGCAGTGAGCTCCTCGCGCTGCTTTGCAAACAGCTCTTGGTATTTGGCATCGAATGCCCGGTAGTGCTCAGCGCGCTCCTCAAGCTCGGCGAGCTGTGCCTGGAGCTTGGGCTTCTTCTGTGCCTGTTCTTTTTGGTCCTGGTTGATTTTGCGCTGAGCGACGAGTTCATCAAGAGACACACCGGGATTCGCTTCCAAGATGGCGTCGACCTTCTGCGTGCCCTGCAATTTCTTATTGGTATTGCGGATCTGCTTGTTCAGCTCCTTGAGGTATTCGTGCTGCTCCGTCGTGTTCTCCACGGCGACTGAGTTCTCTTGGGACGCGGGTTTGGGGAGCGCTGTCGACGACGAGCTAGTGCCATTGGTCGCAGCGGCCTCCGCCTTCGCCTTCTTCTTGCGTGCAGACTTGGACTCGGCGGATGCGGCACTTCCCAAGCCGACTGCTTCTTTGGCGCTCTGTGCGGCGTGCTGTATTGTGTCGGCGACAGTCATTGCGTGAGATCTGTTGTGTGAAGTGCAGTGTTGAGTTCGGTTGTGGTGTTGGTTGCTCGCGTGGTTTGAGGTGATGGGCAAGGTCGGGTGGATTGTGTTGTGAGTTATGATTTTGTATCTTCAAATCGAGAAGCTGCACCAGTGCACCTCTGCTGCGGAGCTATCGCCGCTAGTCCAGAGGGAGGTCCATGACGAAATCAGATTTGGATAAGCCGCGTAAAGCACAGCACTCTACCTCCTAGTCGAACCTACCTACCTTGCGCTTCCACCCAGACTCCAGTCCAGTAGGAGGTACCACTAAATCGCATCTCGTTCTACATCAAGTTCCGTTCGGCTGCCTCACAAAACATGCGAAGCACCACATATACTCTGCTCGGCCAGCCTTGAATATGGAGGAAGCACCGTCACGAGCGCTCGCAAAGCGCAAAACAGAGACATCTCTGATGCCCCCACCGCCGCGACCCAAACGACAAAAGAGACCGGCGAAGGTCCTCGACGAGGACGTCTACTCGGATGCGCTCTCTCACATCATTGCTCGAGACTTCTTCCCCGGGCTACGCGAGACCGAAGCCCAGCAAGACTACCTGCAGGCTCTTGACAGCAAGGACAAGAGCCGGATTCGAGATGCGGGAAGGAAGTTGACACAGGCCATGACTCCACTGCCAGCAGGACGTCGACGCATGGGAACTGGGACGAGCTTCACGCCCAGCAGAAATGCTGCGCTTGCAGACACGCCACGTGGCTTCGTGGGCGATACACCTGGTCGGACTCCTGTGGACAGTGGCCATTTCGCGCCCGAAGAAGAGAAGCCCGAAGTGGACGTGAACATGTCGCTGGGTGCCTTTCAGTCAAAGTACACCTCCGAAGACAACGAGAGTTTTAACGCATTGCTCGACAACCAGAACGAGAAGCGGGCATCAAAGTACACTTTCTTCCATCATGGTAATAAAATACCTACCGCGAGACAGATTGCCTATCGCGAGCAGGCGCAAAAGCTCCTGCCAAGCGGGCAGGGGTCTACGGTCTTGACAACAACAAGTTCTGCTGCAGAGCAGAGTCTCGCCGTCGCTACTGCCAGACCATCTCAGGATCTGGATGAGCGGCCCGCTTCTGTGGACAATTTCACGAACCGACAAGGTCCCCGGAACACATTCATGTTTGGCCCCGATAGTGTTGAGGACCAATTTGTAACAAGAGCGCAAAACGCGGAGTCGATATCGAATGCTCCGCCCAAGGCTGTCAACTATAACGCAACGCGCTTCATAGGGTCCAATACAGACGCAGAGAGAGCGGTGCCTGCAAGTCCGTCTATGAGTGCTGTTGATGCTGCGATCGTTGGACGACCAAGAGCCACTGGGACCGAGAGTGGCTACAGTGGAGCAGAGACGCCTCGTGTGAATGGTTATGCTTTCGTGGATGCAGAGCCAAGCCCCAGCGAAATGGGATTCCCCGTGACAGACGAGGAAGCTGATCGAGCAGAACAAGAGGCAGCGCTCCAGCTTCTACCCAAAGTCGAGTCTGGTGGCCCCAACCCCTTTTACATCAAGGAACGTAGCAAGCGCGAAGACGTTCTCCACAGACTAGTTGAGAAATCTGATGCTGGGCGGAGAAGAGGCGGTAGAATGGAACAACTCCGAAGTCTTGGTATCACGCCTGGAAGAACGCCGACACCTCGTTTTGCGAGTGGTGCGAACATCCGCAAGACTGGTATGACGCCAGCAGCTCAGGCACTGGCTAAGACAATTGGTACGCCCCGACGTGAAGGCAGTTTCTTACCATCCCGTGCCGAGAAGAGCAGCTGGACGCCACGAGTGATCAAACGACAGACATGAAAATTAATTGTGAACGACTTGTACACAGAAGTGAACATCTAAGAGCAGCCTACCTCCTATGACGAGAAGCAGGGGTTTGATAAGATACCCCGCGATTCATCGTCACAGCTGCTCGAGTCCAGCGACACAAAAGGCACCACTCACAACAACACAGTACCTTATGCAAGGCAAGTTCATATTTCTTATCCCGTGCAGCAAGCAGCCCTGGTCGGCGAAGACATGACTGCAGCATCGTCTTCCTCCTCAAGACCCTGGCTGGCCGCTGTGCTCATTTGTGCAGCAGTTATGCGAAGGTACTGGTCATCACGACTTGCATTCAAGCTCGAGCAGTAAGGTACATGTAGTTGTAAGAACATCCCTACGTGACCTGGTCGGACGCAGAGGTGTCTTGGCCACATTGGTAAATCACAAGACACATGTATACCGTGCTCTGCACTCACCATTGTTGCTGAGCTACACAGGTCGAGAATTGCGACTGCGTGAAAGAGCGGCATCTTGGAGAGCATCGTGACAATCAGAGTGACTGCTCTTCCTCAGCCCATACAAGACAATGCAAAGGATCCCAAAAAAAGCCATGGAGCACCGGATTTGCCTCAAGGTGTCAGAGATCCGCGGCGGTGACCCGGCAGACGGTACTTGAGGCTTGAGCTTGTCGCGCGGTGGATCCGGGGGAGTGGCTTGTCTGGAGAACTATATGTCGTGCAGCTCTGCTAGCTTCGATGCCAGGCACGGCTTTGTCGATGCCGTCGCAACACTTGTCTAATGAGCATGGTAGCGTCGGAAGCCATGCGCAGCTTTCATATGGACATCTGAGATGAAGCTCTCCGAAGTCTGTTGACTTGGATGGATGCAAGAGAGGAGGGATTGGGAGTTGGACATCGGGAAAAATACGGCACTCTGCGTGAGGGTTGTGTGCACGACCCCGGCCCCGCAGACTAGTTGTATGGTTTTAGATCTGTTCATATCTGATCATTCTGATGGCCGCAAGCTGTCTATCCTCCACCGGCTCTGTGCGTAGACGCGCCGTAGTACCAGGTACTCTTATGTACTATGTAGTTACTCTTACCTCCTAGTCACGCACTCCTCGACATGCCCTCGTCATGCTCCGCTCAGAGAAAAGCCGGCAGGCTGCAACTGGAAGAGCGCAAAAGAAACATGATGTCACGTCACGTGTGGTCCGACGCAGACACCCCATCAGGGAGATGTATCGCTGGCCAGGTAGGAGGTAGTACCATGAGGTAGTTGTCGTCTATGTAGGAGGTGCCTATGATCCGGTGATGCAGGCCGAAAGCGCGTGCTCATAGGAGGTAGCAGTCCACAAGGGATTTTTTGGTGGTGCCCGGTCCCTAGTTACTAGTAACCTTAATATCGTGATAGATGGGCTGATGATTCCGATAAGGGAATTTGACGGCAGGGGCGGCTGGCGCACCTCGCTTCGTCGCTACCTTGTTCCAGCGCATATTCGAGCCTTGGAGCTCGTCGGTACATGCACCATCGAGCCCACACTACCGCACACTCGAGACAACAACATCTCCTGATCTGCTTTCCTCCTCACCTTCCCGTTGCCGCGCCCGTGGCGGAGCGCGCCCCTCTAGCCTTGCTCACTGTCGTCCCACTCATTTCTCGGCCGATTCCGCTCCAAGCGAGCTCGAGGGCCCATCTCCAACATTCAGCACGACAGGGACAGGGACGACGACGACGACGACGACGTTACAACGCCCACACAATCGCTCCCACCGTGGACTCGTGCTGGCCGCGCCAGCTCACGAACCACTCGCCATGGCCACCGCTGCCGTCACCCCCGACCCACACGACGATGCGAAGCCTGCCCTCTCCATCGAACGCGACAAGCCGGCCGCCGCCTTGACACCGCCGACCAGTGAAGAGATGAATGAGCAGCAACAGGGAGAGCACGAGGACTCCGAATTGAGCGAGTTGGACTTGGACGATGACGAAGACGAAGAGATATTTCCAGATCACTACTGGGACGAGGCGAACGGTGGCAAAATACCAGTGTTTAAGCCCACCATGGACCAATTTCGCGACTTCCAGAAATTCATCGACAAGATTGACAAGTATGGCATGAAGTCTGGAATTGTCAAGGTGATACCGCCGAAAGAATGGTATGTTAGACATAGTGCGCGCGTATGTGGGGAGGACGCGGGTCACTGACAACCCTGCAGGCGCGATTCCCTGCCCGCATTGGACGAGAAGATCAAGGGCATCCGCATCAAGAACCCTATCACACAAGAGTTCAACGGCACATTCGGCACCTATACACAACAGAACGTGGAGAAGCAGCGATCATATAACCTTCCGGAATGGAAGTCACTGACCGAGGAGACTCAGCATCAACCGCCCGCGAAACGCGGAGAACGACGCAAGAATCAGAAGGAAGTCGTCCGTGGAGGAGGCGGTGTTCGCGCCCGTGCTGCGAAAGTTGAGCAGGAAGAGACCAGCACGCCACGATCCCGGAGGAAGCCTGGACGACCTCGACGTGGCGCACTTGCTGGCGATGAATCTGATGAAGACTCGAATCCTGCAACACCCGTTGCGGAGCCTCCAGCCAAGAAAGCGACTCGAGGAGGTCCGAAAACCAAAGGAAAGGGAGGCAATCAGAACAAGTCTGTTACGTCTCGGCGTCTGAACAACACTGCTCAGACGGAGACTCATGTCGATGAAAAAGCCTTCAAGAACTTCGACTACCATCTCGAAGAGGTCGACGAATACACTGCCGAGCGATGCGCGGAACTAGAGACTCTATACTGGAAGACGATGAGTTTCAATCAACCCATGTACGCTGCTGACATGCCTGGATCACTCTTCGACGACACGCTGAAGAGCTGGAACGTAGCGCAACTACCCAACATCCTGGACGTGCTTGGTACCAAAGTTCCTGGTGTCAATACCGCATATCTGTACATGGGCATGTGGAAGGCTACGTTCGCGTGGCATCTGGAGGACGTGGACTTGTACAGCATCAACTACATTCACTTTGGTGCCCCGAAGCAATGGTACAGCATTTCCCAAGAAGATGCACGAAAGTTTGAGCGCGCTATGAGGCAAGCGTGGCCAGTCGACTCGAAAAACTGTGATCAGTTCTTGCGACACAAGACATACCTCATCTCTCCAGACGTGCTACAGAAGCAATACGGCGTCAAAGTGAACAAGCTTGTGCACTATGAGGGCGAATTCGTCATCACCTATCCATATGGCTACCATTCCGGATATAACCTCGGCTACAATTGCGCAGAGTCTGTCAACTTTGCCACGGAGAATTGGCTGGAGTTTGGCCGTATCGCCAAAAAGTGCAACTGTGAGCCTGACAACGTATGGGTCGACATCGGCGAGATTGAGCGCAAGCTGCGCGGCGAGCCCACACCTGAATACTATGAGGAAACTGACAGTGAAGGCGAGCTTAACGAAGAGGACAGCAAGTTACCTACACCACCTGCCAGTGTCAAGGGCGCTTCAAGATCGAAGAAGCGCAAGCGCGACATCAAGAAGGAAGAGCCTAAGAAGAAGAAGATCAAGATTCGGATCAGGATCCCAGGCAAAGAACCCTGTTGCATGTGTCCCAATGAAAATGCTTGGGACACCCTTCTTCCGACCGACCACGGCAAGAAAGCGCACACCTCATGTGCGTTGTATACTCCGGAGACCTTCATCGATAGCGATAGCGGCACTACAGTGGTACGTGGCGTGGCCAACATCGATAGAGCTCGCCTGGAGCTCAAATGCAACTTCTGTCGCTCGAAGAAGGGAGCATGCTTTCAGTGCTCGGCGAAGAAGTGCACGCGTGCGTTCCATGCTAGCTGCGCTGTTGCTGCTGGTGTACTTGTTGATTCTGGGCTTGTGCCAACGTTCGATGCCGAAGGCAACGAATATTACGAGCAAGGATTTGACTTTCGCTGTCGATACCATCGTCCCAAGATGCCGAAAATTCTCGATATGGATGCATTGGAAAGCACGAAGCGGGTCTACGCCGCCGCCAAGGACCTCAAGCCCAAAGATCCTATGCAAGCACAGTATCATGGCGGTGAAGTGTTTGGTGGGTTGGTCGTCGAGAACAGACCCGCCGAGCAAACTCTCCTCGTAGATGTGTTGCCCGATGGCGATCGCATTGAGGTTGAATACAAGTGGCTGTGCGTCCTCAATCCCGACGACTCAGTGCGACCAAAGCCGTCTGCTGCTGCCAAGCCAGTACCGAAGGACATGAACAAGAATTCGCTCGCACTTTCGAATCGACAAGATGGCGTCCCTGCTCAAGATGACTTGTTCAACACTGATGATCAATACAAATGGCACGATTTTTACAATTACCACACGCCACCGCCGGGATTCCAGACGGTACTCTGGAGAGCTCCAAGCAAGCTGAAGATAGATGTCAATGCACCAGACACGCTGTATTACTATCTACCGGAAATCTCTACGGATGCCAAGGTGTTCTTCACAGACAAGCCTGGTAGCAAGCAAGTGGCTCCCAGAGGTAACTTCATGGACCGCGTGCAGCCGAAGCAGACCTATCAACATCCTGCTGCGAAACAGGCAATTGCTCCAGCGCAGTCCTCGGCTCCAATTTGGCGCACACATCAGCCAGCACTGAGCTCGGCTGCCATGCCTGCACACAGTAACAGCATCACCGAGAAGCCATATGTATACAAACCGAAGGAGCCCGCCAAACCAAATGTGCTGTGCGCTGTCGACTATCAAGCTTTGGCGAACCAGCACAGCTTCACCGCTGATCCTATTCGTCGCCAATCGTCAGTGCTCAGCCAACAGTCGCTGTCCCGACAATCGCCCACCATGCAACAGAATGGCCTTCAACAGTCTGCCCCGCAATACATTCCGCAGTACAACTATCAAGGTGGCGAAGTCTCTAGAGATTCTTCTGGCAGTGTTCGCCCCTTTCCACCAGACCAGTATTACTCATCGAAGACGCTGCCGGCCGCATACCAAGGCGAGTATTCGAGATTTCGGCGCGAGTCGCAAGGCGCGCAGACCTTGCAACGTCCTAACTTCGAGCCAGCCGGGTTTACGCCCAACTATCAATCGGTCAAGCAGCAGAAGTCTATGCTCAAGCAAGGTCAGTCTGGCGGACCCGGGACTGGCTCGCCTTTCCCCACAAACTCGTATTCACCAGCTGCAGAGCAACACCAGCAGCCCACTTCGCAGAGCTCGCACTCGCCAGCGAACGCTCCGCCAACTCCAGCGAGCACAATATCCTCGCTTTCCAAACCAGATGCCTTACAGTCCGATCCTGCATATCTGCAAGATCTCCAAAAGTATCCTTATTTGTTGAACAGCTTCTGTCGCAAGCCCAAAGTCTACGAGTCTCCGTACGCAATTGGGGGCGGATACACATCAAAATACCAACCCCTCGAGTTGCAGAAGCAGGCCGATGGGTATGACAGCAGAACGTTAGCTCGGCACACGCCAAGCAATTCTGTTTCGTCACAGTCGCGTCGAGCCAGTCAGCAATGGACGCCACCATCCCAAGTATGGGATCGCGCTGGACTAGCAGAGCGACACAAGACACCCCCTCCGTCCGAACAGCAACAACAACAGCAATATCAACACTCAGTGCCACCTTCACAGCGATACGTTCCGGTGTCGCATAGCACGCCGCAGGAGTTTCAGCGGCAGATCCAAGGCAGCATGCCGAGCACAGCAAGTCGTGACGGCGCACATGCCCGTATGCTTCGAGATCAGGGGTATATTCCCGCGAACACGAACGCTTCAAGCATGTATGCTTCCGCACCCATCTACCAGCAGCGAAATAGCTTCGGCAACGTGTACGATACGTCGAAGATGTACAACAGTCCGAAAGCGCCGACTCCGAGCCCTTTATCGGATAACAACACCCCAGGCTACGGACGAGGACACACTCCTACAAATTCCGGCATCAGTGGTAATAGCAATCTTTGGGGCACTTTGTCACAATCCAACAACACGATAATGGCAAATCCCATGAGCCAAAACGCACAACAGAACGCGATGCGAGAGCGCCCGCCGGGAGCGGGCTTTGGCTACAACCCCACTCTTCCCCAAATGGGCGGAGGCAATGGTCTAGGCGGTCATGAGACTTGGCGTTACAACTGAAGATGAAGTTGAAATGAGGCATGTAACGACTGACGTGATGAGGAGGAAGTTTTGCCGGTGGCGTGCAGCTTCTGCGAGCTCGCCAAACGACATGAGAGTTTTCTACTTCGCTTTGGGCTCAGAATAGCACTAATACAAACGTGAACGATGATCGTACTACGCTCCTCCTGGCTCGCTATAGATAGCTCGACCAGAAAACAAAATGAAAATTTGAAAGAACACGAACCGGTCATCTTCTCTTCTCTCATCTACATGTATCATTTATCATCTACTCACAGTGACCAGGTACTTCCAGGCACAAAATCTTCTTCGTACTGGTGGCCAAATGTTCGCCCTAGACACTGACCTGTTTGTTGTAGCTTGCGAATATCGCACTCATCATCAGCATCATCATCATCATCAACGGACCTTCTTCGAGGAATCCAACTCGCTGCAGGCTGCTATGGCCGACACCGCCTTGACAGAACTCTGATAGATGAGAATTGCAGGAACCACGATCCACACCTGCGTGAGAACATCAGCAGCCGTCTCACATGGCAAGAAAGGGCTGGTTTGTGGTGGAATAAAGTAAGGGTCGTTCATTCACATTCCATTCTTCTTTTTTTTCTTTTTTTTCTTTCCTCTTCGCCTATTTTTTTTTCTAGGTGAAAAATGAAAAAGATGAAAAAAGAAGAAGAAAACTCACCGCATTACACCCCACGAAATAAAACCAAAAATAGAGCGCTTCAGGTCGAGAATAAGAAATGCCATTTACGGCATGATCGAAAAAACTCGTCGCGTAGTATAATGCATCGCCGTAGAGTTGACCCATGCTAACGATGATTTGTAAAGGATATCGCCAGGGGCTTCGCTGGAGAATTAAAGCTGCGACGAGAAAGCAGCCGGGGCCCCAGAGGAGGACGGTCAGGGTTTCGACGCAGAGGACGAAGGTGTTTTTGGTGAGATATCTGTTTGATTTGTTAATAATTTGGGGGGGGGGGGGTTTTTTTTTGTCTTTTTGAGGACGTTGATGAAATGAATTATGCTTCGCCTCCTTCTTCTTCTTCTCCTCCTTCTCCCCCCAAAGACAGAAACCAAAATCAAACCCCCCAACAAGTAAAAAAAAAACAAAAAAGTAAAGTAAAGAAAAAAACTCACCTCGAATCCGAAAACGCGTACTCCTTCCACATCTCCCCCAAAACCCCTTCTTTCCCGGCCAACTCCTCATAAAATCTCACATAATACCCCTCAAACACCACATGTATCGTGCCCGACAAAACAAACCACATGAGAGTCGACAATTCCCCACCACTCAACCCCGTATCCGTCTCTCTCGACTTCGACTCATTCTTCTCCTTCGATTTCTCTTCCTCTTCTTGTGGGAGAGGTAGAGATGAAGCAGCAGCAGCGTAGATGCGAGTAGTAGCGAAGAAATAACAAAAAAAGAGAAGAAGAGTACAAGAAGCGAAAAAAATCAGGAGAAGAGTTGGGACGGAGGTGGTGTTGGGGCGATAGTGGGGGATGAGGGCGTTGAGGGGGTAATAAGGGTGTTGTTGTGAGGTTGCGTTGGTTGTGGTTGTGGTTGTGGTGAGTTGGGACATGGTTTTTTCTTTTTTTTTTGTTCTTGTTATTTGTTGCTGCTTGCTGTTTGCTGCTCTTCTTGTCCTTTTGTACTTTTTTTCTTTTCGAGATGGAAGTTGTAAGAGGAGCCTGGTTATGGGTAGGGTAGGTAAGGTGAGGTAAGGTAAGGTAAGGTGAGGTAAGGTAAAGCAAGGCAAGACAAGCAAAAAGTTGCAAGAAAGGGAAGGCGTGCATGGGAATAACGGTCATCATCATAATAGATAATAATAATAATAATAATAATATTCATTAAGTGGGTGTAGCCGCCGCTAGTTCTAAATACAAATAGGGTGGTAGGAGATAGTAGGTCCATACGGCATCACCGATCATCGCCGTTACAGACTTTCATTGGAAGCTTCCGCTTTGCCGGGAGTCCATTTTCTTCGACATTAGAGATATGTGAGATAAAGTACCGTTCTAATCCTGCAAAACCGCTTTTGGAACAAAGACCTCTAGGTTGTCCTCAATCAAGAGGAAAGCCCGCTCGTTCCCATGACCTCCATTCTTCCAAGGCATACCGAACCGTGGCGACGAGTCGTGGCAATCGACGACCAGGACCACCATTCTCCACCGGTACACCAAGGGCGGCGCAGTCCACATTTGTAGGCAGGAGAGCTTCCAGAGCTGCTGCGTCCATTGCATTGGACGCCCCGTCTATCGGCACAAAAGGGTTGCGCGTGTTCGGTGCATGTTCACCAAAGTTTGGTCCTCCGTCACAAGGGAAACCAGGTTGGTGCTCCATTGCTGGCATGGGCATGCCGTTTCCAGCAGCAGTACTCATGTGTCGCTGGGCATCAGTCGCAGTTGCGAGCAGATTCTGCAACACAGCGCCTCCTGAAGTGGCGAGGACGCAGGCATCAGACACCTGCGTGCGCACCGTGTTGTCGAAGGTGTGTTGCTTCTGCATCTCGGGCGAGAGCCCCAACAGACGCTGAGCGGGTTCGCTGCCACATCGAGCTTGAGACTCTTCACATGCTTGCGTGCTCTGCAGTGACTGCACCGTGCTATATGTGGACGTCGTGGTCAAGGACTCCGGAGTCCCCGCGCACGTGGAAGAAGAAAGATCGGATATCGAACGCGGAATGTTCTGGGTACTGAGAGCCAAAGTCTCCGAGCTCATGCCAGCTGAGTCTGTTGAACACTTCTTAGTATGCGGCAATGAGGAGATATGATGATAGGGATGATCTGACGAACCGAAGAAACTAGGTCCGAGGGAGGCTCCGGGCGACCACGAGTGTTGTCTCGATGAATCCATGCAACCCATCCAGCCTAATGGCGCGATGCCGTTCGAGCTGGGCTGCTGAGTATGAGGAACGGCATTCGAAGGCGTATTGTTGCAATCCAGGTCCAAGAATGACGGCGAACGGCTGCCGAGCATGGGGCTACTACCGCATGGTGGATTTCCTCGATCGACGAACATGGTCGAGAAGGGATCCTGCTGGACAATGGCAGGTGCCGTGAGAAAGCCGTTGTAGCCCAGGTCTTTGCTGCTTTGCTGTCGAACGTGATACATGTTGTCGAGCGGAACAGTCATATCATTGTAGACCTCGCCTTGACGAGTCTCGAGCTTCGCTCGGAGGTCTTCAATCCTCTGCCGTTGCCGTTGACCTGCATCCGATTCAGTATGAGCCCATCATCGAGCAGATACGAAACGGGCCAAGGGAGGAGTGTCACTGACGGTACAAACGCTGAGCCATGCGATTTTGGAACCGTTTGCGTGCCTTTCGCCCATCCAGCTCTGATGGGTCACTCGAGGGAGGAGTGGGCGGGGACGTGGCGGGCGTGGATGAGCTGCGTGAACGCTTGGGCATCTTGACTCTGGGCCGTACGGATCTTCTGATTGAAGCGTAGAATCTAATTGTTGAACTTCTGGCTGATATCAAGAACAGGGTGGTCGGACCATATAGTACAGAGAGCGAAGCTTTGAAGCCAAGACATGGCTGAGCATGAAGCTGCACATTGTGGATGAGCTCAGAATAGGTTCGCACAGTGTGAATTCACTGCCACCGACAATGGTTTCAATCAGACGGAGGCTGGGTGCGCGGCACCCCCATGCTTGTGTCTGGGAAGTTGTGGAAGAATACGAGTAGGAACGTGGCATGACAGCTGTCGCACCGAGTCGGTGACTGCGGCGAGGAGCAGCAAGTCTGATTCATCGCCGCTCCAGGGAGCAGCAAAATCTAGTCAGTCACCGGTGCAGGGTACTAGTAGCAGAGCACTCGATCGTCGCGGAGCACCATACTGGAGGCGGAGTCTCATGTTGACAATACCAGATCGGTCTTGTGACCGGGAAAATCGGTGTGTGAGTAGTCCGGACGACCCTAGTACTAGGGTCGCTTAGGATCGATCCGGACGAGTGCAACACCAGGGTCCACTAACATAAAATGCGTATAGATACGCTCCCCCGGGACATTGTGCAATCATATCCCAGAACCACTTTCAATGCAGCTGGTAAGCTGGAGAGTGTTCTCACAGTGCTTCAGATGGCTGAGCCTGGCTTTCCTGCAGCATCGTACCACGTACGAGTGTATCATGAGATGCAGGACTTAGTATTCTTTGCATGGAAGAGAGTTGAAAGCATGCGCCGTGTGAAGATGCTGTTCACGACAATACCTTCCTCCAGCGATTGCCAAGTATCCAGAAATGGAGTGTTCCGTGGAGAAGCGTGCCGTCTTCAAGCACAACACGCCCAGGAACCTTAGCCCTCATCGCCACGCAGGTCTGACAGTCGTGGACAACCGGTGGTCACTGCTCCACCGCTTCGGGTGGTGGAGTGGAGGGTAAGGTAGAGAGGGGCAGGCGAGTGGTTGCTGATCTCTGCTGATGACGGTATTAAAGCATCTTCCGCGCTGCTCTGCACAGGCACATTCTGCTATTCTGATGGATTAGCAGCCAGGAGAAGGGGCAGAGGGCGAGTTGTCGAGAAGTGCACAGCAACGACACGCCGACAGCTCCCAGCACGTGCACCGATGGCGCATCTCGAGCACGCCGAGAAGAGTCCGTTTGGTCGAGGCTTGGTGGTGATGGTGCGCATGCGGGCCCCCAGGGCAAGCTTCACGCAAGCATTGATGCCAATTGCTCCGCCACGGTCCCGTTTGAACGATTGGTGTGAAGAAGAGGAGCAAGATGTATTGTTCGTTTTGGGGTGCGAGGTCAAGACACATGTGACGAGCGGTGCGGACCACGATACCCTATTATGGCAGACCTGGTGCAATTCGCGTGCAGGGGCGGTGTTGTGAGCAGACTCAGCAGAGAGTGTTGGGGGCAGCGTCAAGTAGGCGAGAGTAACAAGCAACACCCTTCCCAAGTGGGCTGTGCTGTATGTGCTGTGCAGGTCGCCCGACGCCAGCTCCCAGGGAGGGAGAAGTGGAAGCGAGCGGACTCAGAGCCGCGTTCCGGATTCGTTCTAACCGGAAGTAGAAGGAAGCGCGCTGCCGCAGTCGAAGGTTTTCCCATTTTCTATATCCATGAATATGATAAATTGATCATCCATGCTGTATTGGCCCATTCATTCCCGGTTGGTCCCTTCGGAAGTTCGGAACGCGGCGCTGGCTGGTCGGCTCGACACGATGTTCTCTGTCTGAAGCGGCGGAGTATATCGACGATCGAGTCTGCAGTATCTGCTGTATCAAGCCTGTATATAGATGCGTGTGTTCGGATCTTCACGCTCTCGAACAGCCGAAGACTGGCAAGAATCCCTCTCCTGGTCAGTGTTCCAAACACACGGAAATGCCAAGAAATGGCCCAATACTATCATTGCTATCATTAGGGTTCCTAGGGTTCCTATGCATCCTGGGACCCGCGGGCCACAGACATACGCACATCACAGATGTTGTACGAGAATTCAATGATTTCCTGGCCTGCCTGATCCAATGACCATCCTGGCATCCAGGGTAGTGATGGAAATAATTACCCAGTCGTATTGACTATAGGTACAGTAACAATTCATCGCATAAAGTTAGCCTTAAGTGCGCGAGAAAGTTTGACTACTGGATCGGGAAATATTCGTACCGAGTGTGAAGAAGCCCCCCAGAGCTGTTCTACCTCGTAGGATAATCAAGTCGGTCACTATTGACCCCGTCCATTCCACAGCGAGTGCAAGTCTGGCTCACATTGCCAGCAAGACTGACACTAGGAGGTACTGCACATACAAACATCGGTTGCGCGGAGTGTCGCTCTCAACCACGACGGCATAGTAGGAGGATGTAGTACACGATAGATAGCATGGCCTGATCATGCTCGCGCACCGGCTGATCTCACACCTTTCATTTCGTATCGTGATTGACTCTACTCCGCCTGGTATCATTGGACTCCCTGATTGATTCGGTCTTGATGATCCTCGAAAACGGATGTCGCGCCAGCAATGTTCATCTGTCACCCGCCCTGTTCCACTGTATCCAGTACTCCTCCAGCGCCACGCTAAGATCAAATAAAAAGGCGTAGTACCCAGCTATCCTCATTCGATTTCACGCAGCATCGGGATCCGGTAACCACATCATCATCTCTTTATCCGCAGTAGCAACAAGATTGTGTCTCGGATTATAAGCAACGACCTTGGCAGGCTTCTGGCTGGGTAGTTCAGCGCACGGGTCAAGCACTCGATCTGCCTTCGGTTCCTCTGCGCAATCCCAGACTTGCAAGTTCGCAGACCTGCCATTCCCACCAATCACATATCTTCCATCGGGCGAGAAGCAGGCGCTCGACTGGATGAAGGAAGGGGTGCTGCCTTCTCCCGTGGGCACGGTCAAGAGGTCGGCGCCAGGAGCATAGTGACTGTAGTCGGCACCAGTGGGCTTCTGGAGATAGTGAATCAAGTCGCCCGAGAAGGCATCCAGAATGTAGTGGCCGGGGCCGTTCGTGGCGATCAGCATGTACTTGCCGTTGTTGGAGAACTCTAGCCCAATCCATCCCTCGCCGCCCCTCTGCCCGTGACTTCGGAACTGATTCTCGAGGTCGAGGAGGTCGAAGGTGGTAAAGGGTGGCTTGTCGTAGTTGCGCAGATCGTACAGAGCGATAGTCTGAGCGGGCGGAGAGGCAATGGCGATGACGGAGGCACTCGCATCGTATGCAGTGAACCACGGAGATTGAAAGTTGAGTTGGCCCTGCGCATTGGGCGACCTGGCGTCCCACAGCTTGACCGTGTTGTCCAAGCTTGCCGACATGAACTGATCGTTGTTGGGGCTCAGATTCAAGCTCGTGACGCGACCCTGGTGGCCCTTGAAGTAGCGAATGAAGGAGTTGTCGTGCATGGAGAGATAGCGGATGTCATCGTTGTGCTTGGTGGAGGCGTAGATGATGGAGGTACTGTGGTGGGTGAAGCGGGCCAGAGCGCTGCCATATTTCTGCGACTTGAGCTCTTTCGCGTGCTGGCCGGCCTTGATGTTGAACAGCTGCACCGTGTCGTCGGAGCGCGATAACAGCAGGAACTCGCCGCTGTCGTCGAAGTCGATGGAGGTGTAGGATGAAGGCGGCGGCGCTTTGAACAGGCGACAAGGGCGGAAGGTGGTGATGATGTCCTGGACTTTGGCCACGTTGGGCGGCTGCTGTTCCGGCACCATCTTGTGCTTCTTTTTCTCACGATGTGTATATCCTCTTGTCCTCTTGTTCTCTTGTCCTCTGGTCCTCTTGTCCTCTTGTTCTCCCCTCTTGCCTGTATCTCCTCTCTGGCCTCGTGCCTTTTGCCGTTTGCCTGTTGTTGATTTCCTCTCCCAAGGGTGAATGAGCGTGTCAGGTATCAGGATGGAGTTGAAGGAAAGTGATGATGATGGGCGCAAAGGACAAACCAAGGACTGACACAACACCAATTCACGAACGCACGCGACTGACTTCCTCTGCATGTGAAATGCGACTACTGTCGATCCCTACTAGCGCAAGCCCTATACTTCTAGTTCGACCGTAGCTCTCCACCTTATTCTGCTACCGGCTTCCGGCATCGCAGCGAGTATGCCCTGACAGAAGCCGAAGTGATATGACTACTTTGCTGGGAGGAGAGGAGCCACTGATTTGTACTGGAGTCCACTACCACCACCATCACCACGGATACGTCCACTTCCTGCGAAAATCGCCTCGCAACGGCCGAACCCTCTCCGTCCGCATGAACGTGCAATAATATACAGACCCGACACCCGCACGCAGGAAGCAGCAGCAACAGTAGCGGAGGCTGCAGTGAAGGGGACATGTCGACCACGATTGGGTCCTTCATCGCAGGCGGGATAGCAGCATGTGGTGCGGTCACGGTCACACACTCCTTTGAGACCATCAAGATCAGACTCCAGCTGCAGGGAGAGCTGCAGGCAAAGAAAGATGCGCCGCGGCTATACAAAGGAGTGCTGCACGGCGTCAAGGTCGTCTACACGAATGAAGGGTTGAAGGGTCTGCTGCGAGGCTTGAACTGTGCTGTATGTCTCCGTCCCTGTCGTGACGATCTCGCGAACCCTGTGTACTGATATGGGGAACAGTATGTCTACCAAATGACGCTCAATGGCTGTCGTCTCGGCTTCTACGACCCCATACGGACCACCCTGAATTCGCTCGTCCTGACGCGCTCACCCTTGAACACGCACGATCCCAACGTCAAGGCGATGCAATCCTTACCCGTCAACATCGCCTCCGGTGCCTCGTCAGGTATTCTCGGCGCCTTCCTGGGATCTCCCTTCTTTCTCGTCAAGACCCGCCTCCAATCCTTCTCGCCATTCCTACCCGTCGGCACTCAGCATCAATACCGCAGCGCAGCAGACGGCATGAGACAAATATACGGCGCCGAAGGCATTCGAGGTCTCTGGAGAGGTGTTGGTCCCGCCATGGTACGAACAGGCTTTGGATCATCAGTGCAATTACCCACATACTTCTTCGCGAAGAGGTTACTGCAAAGAAATTTCGATATCAAGGATGGTACACCGTTACATCTCATGTCCTCTTCCGCTTCCGGGTTCGTGGTCTGCTGTGTCATGCATCCTCCCGACACCGTCATGAGCAGAATGTACAACCAAACGGGAAATCTGTACTCGGGAGCCTTTGACTGTCTGTACCGCACCGTGAAGACCGAAGGAATTCTGGCGGTATACAAAGGCTTCTTTGCGCATTTGGCCCGCATTCTACCGCACACCATTCTGACTCTGACCTTGGCCGAGCAGACAAATAAGCTTATGAGGAAATTCGAAGATCGAGTGCTACCGAAGGATGTCAAGGAGAAGATATGAGAAAGACAAAGAGGAGCGCTGAGGAGCAAATCTTCAGAAGACCACGTCTGGGAATCTATTCTCAATTGGGGCCCCTTGACAGCGGAGGGAGTCTCACATTATATTATGTGTAACACATACCCCATCCAGCTCAGCGCTGGTCATGGCCCCGAACGAAGATTCGTCGGGAACAGTCATTTGCATGGGGACTCCTCAGAGACTTGTCTCGAGCGATGGTAGAGCGAGCTAGCTAGCTAGATACCCAGCGGTCAAAGGCACACCACCCACCACCACCACCATCATCATCATCAATCATCATCAATCATCATATGACCCATACCATCATCCGATTTCTTCATTTACCTCATTCTATCGGTCACCATCAAATTACCTTACCTCATCTCTCCACCTACCCCTCCCCCTCCCTCTCCTCCTCCTTCGACTGCTGCTGCTGCTGCTACTACTACTGCCCTCCTCCACCCGTTTTGCCACCATCATCAAACGCTTTCTGTCGTTGGCGATTATTCCAATTCAAAGTCCGAGAAATACTATCCACCCAATCTTCACTGCGACGATCCAGAGGGAGAACCGAGGGAAAAGGGAATCGACTAGCGGAGATGGTGACGTAGTCTCCTGGTGTGAGTTCGCATCTGTTTTTTTTTATTTGTTGAGGAGAAGAATGTCAGTCAATCAGTCAATATAAAATAATTTAGACTTTTTTTTTCTCTTTTTCATTTTCATTTTCAAATTCTTTACACAAAAAGAAAGGGGAGAGTAAAAGGGTTGCATACCTCTCTTTTCCATCAAAACTGGCCCAACAGCTGGCTCGGGCGTCATAGGGGACACCGATGCGGAGGACAATCGTGTCGGGTAAGATGATGGGTCGGAAGCTGAGAGTGTGCGGTGCAATGGCCGTGACGAGGATGACGGGATTATCGGGATGACAGAGACTACCTCCTGCTGCGAGATTGTATGCAGTCGAGCCAGTGGGTGTGGCGACACAGACGCCGTCCGCCTGGACGGTGGTGAAGTGCTCTTCATCACCAAACATTTCAATGCTGCTCATGGTCGCGCTCGGTCCGCGGTCCATGACGATATCGTTGAGGATGTTGTGCGTGCCACCGGGGAGGTGGGTGGAAGCATCATCTGCTCCGTTCCCGATGAGCTCGTCTACCAAGTCGCGAGAGTGCTGGTCGTCTTCGTTATCTTTCTTGGTGGAGCGCATGATGGTGGCCTCAAACCGGAGGCGCAGAGATACGGTCAGACCATCCCTGAACGCTCGTGTCAGAGTCTCCTCGTAATGACCGTAGTCGAATTTGGTCAGGAAGCCCAGAGAACCCAGCGCGAAGGACATGACAGGAGGCACAATTCGCTGGAAGAGCCACGACGCATACAGAACAGTGCCGTCGCCGCCCAAAGCCAGGCATATCTCAAAGAGGTGGGGCTTTTTCTTGCATAGCTCAGTGGTCCAGAATTTTAACCTCTCTCTGTAGGACTCGTCCTGCGAATAGAGTGCATCTACCCCGAAAGATTTGTTGTCCTTCATCGTCTCCTCGACCCACACGGTATATTGATTTCCATCGGCATCCTTTTGTTGCAGGAGCCACTGAGCCACGTTCCGCGTGTATTGAATGAGCTTTTGATCGTGTGCCTTGGTCAGCAGGAACACGTTGCGCACTTTCAGCATCAAGCGTATGCGGCCCAGCTTCTTGGACAATTCCCGGATACCAAAGGCCATGTCCGAGAGCTGCTTCTTGGTCAGCAGTCTCGACTGCGTGTGCTGCGGCCCTTGCGACGCCTCGGCTTGATTATTCTTGTCTGCCGGCTTGTGGAGGTCATCGTCGGGGTTAGCAGTCGAGGGATTGTATTTCGATCTTGCTTCCAGTAAAGAGTGCACGAAACACGAAGTGGTCTGGCGATTATTTTTGGGCCTGCTCTGTTTTGAGCCCGGCGTCAGGCTGGCTCTTCTCCGTTGCGCGCCGTGCTTGTCGAAGATGACCTCCAGCTGCTCCGACAGGCCTTCCGAGTCGCTGGTGCTGTGCTGTCCACCATCGTCACCCTCTGGCTCTTGTTGTTCTTCTTGTTCCTCTTCCTCTCCTTCTCCTTCTTCTCCTTGCTCTTCGTCCTCTTCGTCGTCGTCGTCGTCGTCGTCGTCCTCCTCCTCCTCCTTACTCACCACCTCTTCTTCCCCCTTCACCGCCTCTTGTTGCTTGCTATCAGCTGCACCACCGGCCGTAAGGTCGCCGACCGATGCATTCACAGTCGCCATGTGTCGTCCTCTAGCTCTCGTGAGTCTGTCAATTGATCCTCGTGTTGCCGTCTTCGAGGAGCCTGTAAGTTAGTGGGAAGATCCTATGGAGCACGATCCTACCTTTGACTTCTACACGCGGGCGTACATAACCCCGCGGCTGACCGATGTGCTAAGCGGCTTCGTCTCTTGCTCGTACGAATGACGAAGGCGAGAAGACTTTGGTGGTGGTAGTGGTGGTGGTGGCTGTGGTGATACCTCACATATGTGCTTACTCAGGCGGGTACAGCAAAGTGGTTAGGAGTGTAGTTGGACTGTTGGACATGAGATGAGAGCGGAGTGGATGGGGGATCTCGCTGTTTCTTCCCAAGCCAAGCTGTCCCTGTGGACTGGACTGTAGGAGAGTCTAGGGAGACTAAGAGTGAATCCTGATGGCTCTCGTACGCCAATCAATCCCTCGACCACGCTAGCGGCTGTCTGATGTGCGGTACTCCCGTTGGTGGCCGCAGCGTCCCGTCGCTTCTCTGACCAAACGCTGCTTTCTCCTGACTTTCCTCTCCCACCACCTCCTTTTGTACCCCCTTTCCCCCCTCCCCCCTCCCCCTCAAACGGAGTCAAGCCCCGATGGCGGATATTAATGCGCTTCCCCTACCTCACCCTCCTCCACTACACTCTACAATGCTAAGGTATACAAGTCTCCGAAGCAAGGCCAAGGTTGGGCAATTTCACTGCCGAACACATGCTTGCGCTATCTCCCCTGCTTTGCCCTGGGCCATCGCACCCACCACTCCGTCTACTATGAGTCGGGGACGACGATGAGGACGACGACTACAGTCTACAGCCCATATTGCCATATTGTACATCTGGTGTCCAGCACGTTGATGAGAGCACAGTACGGTTCTCCTTCATGGACCACGCCAGACAAAAAAGGCCTCTCTCTCTCTTGGTCCTGTCTCAGGTCCAGTACATATGTACCAGAGTGCTTCGTAGACCGCCTTATCTGCCCCCAGCGCCCGGCTCGCATTGATCAATAGCAGATCTTGCCATCTTGGTGACCTCGCGACCTTTACCGAGCCCGATAAATGATATGCTTGCATCGCAGGGAGGCATGAGAAGTTTAGTTGCACGCATAGGAACGGCTGTGCGCTAGATAAGCTACCTATCCTCTAGCTATCTGCTTGGCATGCTCGCCTTTTGTTGGCCGCTATCTAGTTTGTGCTACCTACCTACCATACAATTCACATGAACCTTTTTGAGAAGGTCGAGCGAGCTATTAAGAAGCTGCAGTCTAAATCATCAAGTCTGCCTGCCATTCATGAAATTCAAACAAGTCTACGTCTCTCCATTATTCACTCCATCAAAGAAGACATTAGCAGCACAGCACAGCAGCAGCAGCAGCAGCAATGACTGCAACATCCCAAGACGATCCCCTAGCCATGGCCGAACGAATCGCCCGCGCCCCTGAGCAACAGCAACAGCAACAAAAACAACAACAACAACCGCCCTCCTCCCTCGACGAAAAGAAAAAAGTCCCCATGACAACCGACCTCGAACTCATCCCATCCGAAAAAGACGGCGAAATCATCATCATCAGCGAAGCCGAAGACTATTCCCCCGCCGAATACAAGAAAATCCTCCGCAAAATCGACCGCTTCTTACTCCCACTCATGTGGTTCTGCTACGGCATTCAACAAACCGACAAAACATCCTTGGGAACACAAGCGATTTTTGGGTTGCGGACGGATACGAAATTGGTGGGACAGCAGTATTCGTGGTTGACGACGATTTTTTATATTACCTATATGATTGGAGAGTTTCCGAGTAATTTTTTGTTGCAGAGATGGTCGTTGGGACGGTCGTTGTCGATTTATATGTTTTGTTGGGGTGAGTCTTCGTTTTTTTCTTTTTCTTTTTCTTTTTTTTTCTGCTCTTCTCTTTTCTTTTTCTTTGATTGGAAGAAAGAAAAATCTACACGCACATTTGATCGCTGGGAACAGCAGCAGCAGCAGCATCAGCCAAGAAAAAAGACTAAAGACTGACACATACTAATTCTTCTCCCTCACACCCAGGTGTCTGCGTAACCTGCATCGGCGCCGCGCAAAACTGGACCCATCTCATGATCCTCCGCGCCCTCCAAGGTTTTTTCGAATGCACCATCAGCCCCGGCTTCGTCCTCGTCATCGGCAGCTGGTACACTCGTGACGAGCACTCTTCACGTTCCCTCTTCTTCCAATCCGCCAATGCAGGCTTCGGCATCATCGGAAATCTCTCCATGTACGGCATTGGATCCCACGCGCAGAAATACGGAGGACTTGCGCCTTGGAGATGTATTTCGTTGTTTTTGGGAGCGTGCACGTTGTTGTTGTCGGTGATTTGTTTTTTTATGTTGGGGTCGCCCAAGGAGGTGAGATGGTTGAGGAATGAGGAGAGGAAGATTGCGTAAGTTGAAGATTTATTTTTTTTAAAAAAAGAAATAGCGCTTTTTGTGAAATAATGATGTACTGATCTGGATTGGTGTTGTAGGCAAGCGCGTGTCGTTTCGAACAAGGCGGGTAGAGATGTTACTGGTATTAAGTGGAGTTGGCCTCAGGTCGCTGAAGCATTCAAGGACCCTCAGTTGTATTTCAGCATGGGTAACATCTTTCTCTCTCTTTTGGTCATCCGTTCGACGAATGCTAATCATCCTTTCATCAGTCAATGCATTCCTGTCCTCCGTCCCCAACGGTGGCCTCACCACATTCGGTGGAATTGTACTCAACTCCTTTGGCTTCACCGAGCTTCAAGTCTTGCTCGTAGAAATTCCTCGATCAGGTAATTATCTTTCACCTCATCCTCCTCCCTCTCTCTCTCTCTCTCCCTCGCAAACCGAAATATGGAAAAGAAAAAAAAAGAAAGAAAGAAAGAGAAAAAAAAAAGAAAACTAACCCTCCCAACTCCAGTAATCTCCGTCATAATCTTCATCATAGTCGGCTTCTACACCCGCGCCGTCCCCGAACGACGCATGTACATCATGGCCTCCGCCTGCATCCCCCCCTTCATCGGCCTCCTGGGAATGAGCATGTTACCCAACACACCCGAGCACCAATGGACGAAATGGGGCCTCTACGTCCTCACAGTCCCCTTCGTACTCGCCCTCTTTCTCGCCTGGACACTCATCCCCTCCAACGTCGCCGGACGAACCAAAAAAACCATCATCTCCTCCGCGACCTTCGTGGGGTACTGCGTGGGAAATATGTGCGGAAGTCAAATTTTCAAATCGGCGGATGCGCCGCGTTATGTCCCGGGCACGATTGGAGCTTGTGTTTGTTTGGGAATGGAATTTGTGTTGATTTGTGCGTGGAGGGGTTATTATGTTTGGCAGAATAAGAGGAGAGACAGGCGCGCCGAGGCGAGTGGGGTGGCCAGGGAGGAGCAGGAGAGGTTGGGGAGGGAGTTGGGAGAGAGGAATTGTACGGATTTGGAAAATCCGCATTTTAGGTATACGACTTGATGTTTTTTTTTGTTTGTTTATTCTACCTTTTTTTATTGGAAGTGGGATAGGTGTGATGAAGAAATGAATTGGGATTTGATGGATATGAGATGAGAACACGTGTAGACAGCTAGAATCAGTCAAGACGGTATGAAAACTAGTACAACATGAAAATGACCCCAAGTCCAGACCAACCAACCAGATTTTCCATTTTGAAAATTGTGTAAACAGTGTAACAGGTTGGCATTGACAAAACAAAACAAAACTCTACAGATATATGTGCACACCTCTCTTTTCACTTTCTGGTGCTACTTGCAAATCCCCCCTTTGAGCTCTGGTATATCACGAACTGAGGTTGACCGGCCATAGACTTGAATTTTCCGAGGCCAAGGTCTATAGAATAAAGCCAGCCTCATCATCACGACAAGATCATCATCATCAACAACAACAACAACAACAAAAGCCTCAAGACCAATAAATCAACACCGAATTATCCTCCGAAAGCTCCCTCAACCTCTCCAAACTCGATTTCCTCCCCTTACGAATCTCAAACGCCGAAATCAACGAAGTCTGCAAATCCAAAAACGTCATACCATCGGGAAAGCTCCGTCGAAAGAAAATCGTCGCCCACGCGCCCACAGGTATGACACACGTTTTGGTCTTAGACTGCGAAATGTGCATTCGATGCCACAGCGGTTTCACATGATTATCATCACATGCAAGTTGCGATTGCGCCCACAAATCTACGAGATCGATTCCTGCGGCGATGGTGCTGCTTCGGTAGCCGATTTTTTTTTGGCGAAACCAGGTGGGAGCGAGGGGATTGACGTTTTGATAGCGAATGTTGTTGGAGGAGGAGGAGTCGTCGACTTCGAGGAAGAGTGCGCGTCGTAAGGGTTTGGAGGAGGTGACGGTTTGGAGGAATTTGGAACTGACGCGACGGCAGCGGAGGAGATCTGCTTGGTTGACGAATAATAAAATGTTTTCGAGCAGTTCTCCGATTCCGAGGACGCGCTGGGCTGCTGATAGGGCGGGTTGTTGCTCTTCTTCGGATGCGGTGATGAGAGTCGGGTGCAGGAGTGGGAGAAACATGTGTGCAGTTTTGAGTAGATGGTATAGTATTATATCAGGTAGGTGAGGTTACTGAGGTAGAATGAAATGAGGTAAAAGTAGAGTTATTTCACTTCACTTCACTTGGACAAGACTATTATGAAGTTAGTTCCGCCTTATCGTCTTACTAGGAAGTTATGAGTGAGACACGGAGATGACACGATCTGCCAAGAATGCTTTGTCATCTGCGGTGGTACCTATTCACGTGATTATGCTTGTGCTACACGTGGGCGACATTATTGGAGAGAAGAGAGGTACAGACATATCCATCTGTGGGCCCCTTTTGGAGGAAAACCCCCCGAATAACCACCCCATCGCCAATCTGCAGCCAGCCGAATATGTGGATAGACGGCCATTGCTACAAGAAGCAGCAGCTTCTCCCCCTCTGTCCGCGAGCATTCACTCCTTTATCCCCCCTTAACCCCTTGACATGATCTGGTCTTCACTCACTTGGACGGCGCTAGCGGCCTTTTGCGTGGGCGTGTCCTCACGGAAGATAACACCCTATACCGACGGCTACATCAATTACACCACTGTTCCTGGATACTTTCTCCAAGACGATCCGACCACAAACGCTTCCACCTTCAATTATGTATGTCCGCGCATCGTGCACGACTGCCGACCAGAAGAAGAAGAAGAAGAAGAAGAAGAAGAATAACATCTGACCGACCTGCAAGACCTTGACCAATTTTGGCCTAATCAATCGAACTTATGAAACGACAAACAATCTGGCAGAATCTCTCACACAATGGCAACAATTCAAACAACACGTCGAAGCCATGAATGCTGCTGCGCCACCCAACACCGTCTACAAAGTGCTCTTCATGGGCAGACACGGCGAAGGCTACCACAACGTGGCAGAAAGTGCATTCGGTACACCAGCCTGGAATTGCTATTACGCGCAACTTCCCGGCAACGGCACCCTTTTCTGGGAAGACGCCCAACTCACCCATACGGGAATTTTCCAAGCCGAAATCGCTCACAATTTTTGGAAAAATAGAATCCGAATTGAGAAAATTCCTTTTCCTCGGAGTTTTTATACTTCGCCTTTGCAAAGATGTTTGGCGACTGCAAATATCACATTCGGAGACTTGTCGGACTTGTTGTCGTTGGATTCCCCTTCTTCTTCTTCTTCTTCTTCTTCTGTTTTCCAACCCACAATCAAAGACCTCCTCCGCGAAAAAATCTCCATCCACACCTGCGATCACCGCAACAGCACCGCCACCTCCCTCCTCCAAATCTACCCCCATTTCCTTCTCGAACCCGGTTTTTCCGAATTCGACCACCTCTGGAATGGCCTCACCGCAGAATCTGACACCGCACATTCCATCCGCATGCAAAATTTTCTCGATGACATTTTTTCCCATGATGAACATACGTGGATTTCGTTGACTTCGCACTCGGGGACGATTGCTGCGATTTTGAGGGTTATTGGACATCAGGGTTTTCGGCTTGCTACGGGAGGGGTTTTGCCGGTTTTGGTGAGGGGGGAGTTTTTACCTTCTTCTTCTTCTTCTTGTATCGAGGACGGAGCGACGAGCGTTACGACGATGATGACGACGATGACGAGTATGGTGGAAAGTTCTTATTATACTACTTCTACTTGGTGTCATAATGGACCTCCGGTGTGTTACGAAGCAATACGTGAGCAGCACGTGACCAGCACGTGACTAGCACGTGACTGGCACGTGACTCGCCCCTCGGCACGGGCGGAAGGGACATGTATAATAGCTTCCATCCTAAGTTAGTCACAGAATCATCATCTTGTCAACACCATAACAGATTGGTAGACTGAAGATCGCCTCAGCCTGGACGACTGAACAAGACTCGATTCGCGAAGGATACGCAGCGGCAGGATTGGCGATCGGCGTGCTGAAGCGAGCGAGCACCGACGACGGAAATCCATCCCCGAAGCAGAAGCTCAAGCACGAAGCAGTCCCAGACGGCGAGGCGCGAAACGGCGAGGCACCCAGCGAGAACGCCAGGGCAACGGTCGCGAGCGCGTCTGATACGGCCATCAAGACGGAGGAGGACGCTGAGGGCAGCTATCTTTTTTGAAAATACCG